AAGTATTACTTCTGAAAAAATCCTCTTTTTCTTTTCGGTATCTTTGTACTATGATCCATCATTACAGCACTAAAATCAAAATGCACTCCAAGAACACATTTTTCTGGTCGTACACAACTTATTTAAAAAACATTAATTATCTGAAATCCTCCCTTCAGGAGAGAGAATCACACAGATCAGTAAGCTGTCTTGCTAAATCTTGGTGTTAGATGAGCATAGTCATCTTTTTAAGCAGGAGAGAGAAACATCTGTGCTGTTTCTCAGTTCCTTTTTCTGGATTTCAAAGCAAAAAAATCCCTGTCTCTGAATAAACTTCAGCCTTACAGTGCTAAGTCCCATGACATCCAAGGATCAGAGGTATCAGTCTCAGGGTGTTTTGGGGAAACTTTAAGTACGTTAGTGCAAGTATGTCAAACTAAGATATCCTTCTTTTTCTTCAGTTCTGAAGGAGATAAGCACCAGGTGGGTCTGACCTGCTCGGAAGAACTTGTGCTGTGAAGAAGCTCTCCGAGTTGCCTCTGTCATGCTTTGCCCACAGGAAAAACCCAGCCAAAAAATGGCAACTGATCTTGAAGCTCCTTTAGCATTGTTTACATTTTGATTTAACTTCAGAACTAGGTTATTATTGAAACACAGTCACATAAAAAGAGTTGTCAATCTTTTTAAAAAAATGTCCTAATTCTGTTCTGTTGCTCTCAGCCATTCAACTGTTCGGTAAGCAGCACCCTGCTCACAACATTGCTTTGCTATTTAGAGGAGATGATTGTCAGTCTTAGTAGACAGCATTTCCACATCTCCATCCTTACAGAATGCCAAAGTCTTTGCAGAAGATCTATGTTCCTAATTCCAAGTATACCAGAAAACGGCATGCATCTCCCAGCCCTGCTCTTTTGGAGCTTCCTGAAGCTTCAGATTATCTGGAAGAAAATACAAACTGGAACAAATTAAGGAGAAAAGTGTTTTGGACCAAAAAAAATACAGAACTAACCAGAAGAAATAATAAGAAATACAGAAGGTAAGGACTGACAAAGCAGAGAATAGAGAAGAGAGCAAAAATCACTGTGAGAAAGAGGACTATTGTAACACTATTTTGCTCTCAAGCTCAAAAGTAAAAAAAATCCCCCAAATTCTAGAGAATTAAGTAGCTATAAAAAGAAGTATTTAAATCTTCTTTCAGTGAGAGTTAAGCAGGATAGATTATTTACTAAAGAAATTATCAAAACACAAGTCAGGCACTCAGCCTATAAATAGCTAAAACAGGAAAAAATAGGCTTATGATATGAGATAGTTCTTACACATGTTCAGCAACGGTGCACACAGTCCAACAGATGTAACTTGTAGCCAGCAACCAAATTAAAAAATAAATAAATACGGGTTAAGCAAATGAACTTAAGTAACTGTAGCCTTATTGAGACCTTGTTATAAATGCAGAAATCACCACACAGTTCCTCTTTAGCCTTTGGCCAAGATTTCTCCAGAAATGTCCTCTAATAGTCTTAAGAATCTATCCAGCTGAGCTTTAAAAGGACATTGATTCCCAACACAAAAGTTCAACCTCAGATAACTGGGTTTGATGATATCTACTTACTGGTGAAAAATAAAGCCCTTCACCACAAAAATTATCAGGTGCAACTTTATGGCTGTGTTAGACAAGACTGGGAGATGATGACGATGCTATCATGTTATCACAAAACATTTTAAATAAAGCAAAAGGTATAAAGCAATAGGTATATTCAGTGTCTTGAAAATATATAGGGAAAGAATGGGAAGTAAATCCTTGGAGAGTACACATACATACATATTAAGATTGTCAAGTGAACATTCCCACAGAAATCAGATAAACAGTATAATTCAGTCCTTTGGTTACAAAAAAAAAAAAAGGTAGTGAATATCAAACTACAGTGAAGGCAACTTTTCTTTGGAAGATTTAGACATAGCAAGCAGAGGCACTTAGTTTACGGCAATTCTTCCTTTACTTTTTGGAAATAGGAGTAATGATATTAAACTTCTCTCAAATAAACAAAAATAATTAAAATCTAAATCCCACAGCTGACAGGCATTCTTTTCCTTTGCATCACTCACTCAAAGGTTTGACGCCCTGAGATCACCTAAGGACCCTCACTCTGAAATCTTTAAGGATTTATCCTCACATGACCATCAGAGGGGTAAGACAGCCGCCTTCCCACTTGAAACAGGGTGGATTGCAGCAGGGAACAATCTGGAGACAGATTTCCAGGTGTTTTTTGCTGTCAGCTCCTTACAGCACATCTTTTGCCATACTCCTGCACACTGGAAAGATCCAG